CTGGGATATCCTCTCTTATTTTTGACCATGACCATGAAATCATGGTGATAAGGGGAAGGGAATATGGAGATGGAAGGGAACAGAAGTTGTGTTTGGATGCAGAGAGGCAGGAGTTGAGGTGGACCCCGAAGTAATGGGAACTGTCGAGGAGAGCAGTAAAAGCCAGCCGACCCCAATCCCCACAGGTTGTTTGTTCCTCATAAAATACAACTCTCCATAGCAGGAAGTTACTGCAAACATTTATCAATAATGAATGAATCTCCTGTAATAAAATACTCGCGTAATTAGCTACAGGCAAGTGCGTGCATTATGCCAAAGCCTTTTGCAACTCTTTGTTGGAAATCCGACTCAAACAGAAGAGCAAAGAGTTAGGAATAACAATAATAATTAAAAAAGCGAAGCACCACTCAGCCTTTCCACATCTTTTTTACACCATTTCTGAAATCCGAACCGTAACTACTCCTAAAATATACCCGATAACTCTTTGGTGAATTCAGAAGAGTCATTAACATTCAGCTTTAAGTGAATGTTAACAGTAAATAAAGAAATCTCTTGATTGTAATCGTCGCAACAAAGCAATAATAAAGCAGTGGGTGGTCATCAGTAATGATAAATGTATCATTATTACTGTGCGTTGGGAAAGGGGTTGGGAAAGTGCTTCAGACTTTGTTAGTGGTGAGCGCGGTGGCAATTCGTTTCTTAGCCTGGGAAGAGAAAAAAAAAAAAAAAAAAGCCGTATAATTTTATACACAATTTAGGTTAAAATAAATTTAAATCTGTATATTACATTTTTAATTTCAAGATAGTAATTAAAGCTGCTTCATTATATCTCCTCGGAAACTCTCAGCGCTCGTCGTAATTGCCTGATTGCACGAGCTGCTTTCTAAGACACCCAAGGTTACTGGGTTCTGAAAAGTGAATTATTCACTGACGTGATGAGTTTTCGCCCCATCGCGTCACGTTTTCCGGGAAGTTCCGATTCGTCGGTCTCAAACCCGCTGATGGAAGTTGGATCCCATGTACCCTAGGAGTCCCTTCCAACTTGGGATATTCCCTGACTCGAAGTTTTGTTGCTCTTTGAAACATTTAACGCAAACCCGGTCCTGCCGGGAGGAGCTCACAGCACTTCAATTCACGCATTTGTAAGCAAAATCAATCGGTGAGGTGATTTTATTTTGGGATTTTTGTATTATTTTTTTTTCCCCTACAAGGGTTAATTCACCCACATCCAAATCTGCAGTTTCCCCAGGCAGGGCAAAAAGCAAATCGCGGATTTTTTGTTTTGTTTTGAAGCACGGAAGAGCTCCGGGCTGGGATGCGTCTCACCGCTCTGCTCCTCGCAGGAGGGGAATGAGAGCCGCAAATTGCAGTTCGGTGCCGGGGGCGGGGGGAGCCTTCCCCGGGGGGAGCGCTGAGCTCTGCACGTACCTTCACCTCCGTTCTGACCGCTCGGAGCGCACTGGGAAGTTAGCGGAGAGAAAAGACGCTCTTTATTCCTCCGTCCTTCATTTTGCGCCGATTTTCACCAGTCGGAGGGGTGGCAAACAGCCCCGAAACACCGCATCCCCAAACTCTACCCGTGCATTAAAAGCCGGGAGGAGCTCGCGTTTTTCCCCGTTATCATTGTATGCGTCTTCCCTAAGCGTCCTCTCCCCGCTGGAAAAACTCCGCTCAGCTCTCTGCCCTTTTGTTGTGCCTAGCTGCGTTATTCAGGAGCGGAGACAAAAGCCCGAAGTGATGCGATCTAAATGAGCTGCGGGCTTTTCCAGATGGGACCATCTCTATTCCAAATGCCCTCTCCGCTTTCTGTTCCATATAATAAAAAGAGATTACAAAAATGATGCTTAGCAAAGAGCTCCGCTGGACGCCGTACAGCGCAGCGAAATATACAGCCAAAAGTATTTTTAAAACCCCTTCTGCTACCTAAATTTTGTTGGGAAAAGGGGTTGAGAGCGATACCTTGTGCGCTACTTTCACGGCTCTGAGTTTCAATGGGATGCGGAGGGGTGGGAGGAGGGGATGGATCTGTGCTGGGGGTGGTTTTCTTTGTGTTTTTTTAAGCGCACCGAGCTTGTCTCGTTCCTCGTGCTGCTGTCGTATTTAAGCGCCAAGGAAGTAAATAAAGGGCAGGAGAGTGGGATGAGGTGGGTTAAACTTGGCCGCTTCTCTTTGCTGCTCCTTATTATTATTATTATTATTATTTTCACGAAGCGATTCGCAGCGAAGTGGATGCGCTGCTTTCGCCTCGTTTCCTAGGCAAAAGCGAGATAGGAAAGAGGGGAAAAGAAGCCAGGACTCGTGTTTGTCCTTTCCAGGCTTCCGAGAGAAGTTTGTCCGCTTACCCCTCTCTAACCTAACTATTCCAGACGGCAAAGTCAATGAATGGCAGCAGGACAGTAACTCGGGGCGGCAGATCAACGGGGAAAGACCCCCCGCCAAGCCTGGCTGCCCGCCCCTCTCCTCACCGGGGGTGCAGGCTGGGCTCCGGCCCGCACGCGGAAGTGGCGATGGGGTCGGAGGCGGCCGGAGAGGGCGAACCCTGCCCGGGGCCACCTGCGGAGCCGTCCCGTCCCTGGGCTCACGGAGCTTTCTGCTGCCAGCCGAGGTCAAGCCCTACCCCGTGCTACTCCACGAGATTTCCCGACAGGCTTAAGCAGAAAGAAAGTAGTGAAAGGTGTAGCGTCGCCTCTCTGAAGCGAATCAACCCTTTCTCAGTTAGGAGAGGTCCGACAAGCCGGGGATGCTGCTGTGGGCAGTTCGCGGTTACCACGCACTGCCCGGCACTCCCCTGTCCGTGGGGATTTGTGCACACACAGCACAAGTCCCCGTGCGTTTCCGTGTTCCCGTACAGTATACATTCAGGAAGCCCTTCAGCTTCTCCCACGGATTGCAAAGAGGCAGCGAGCAGGTGACCAAACTTTGCTTAGCTTTGCGTTTAATGACGGCGAAATGAAAGGCGGGCAATGACTAACGACTTCGCACCGAGTTTGAATTTCAGGCTGCGAGGCCCTAGCTCGGGGTAGGGGTTTCGTTGAAGGTGCATCGCAAAATGCAAGCATCCTTTTCTTTTACTTCTCCTTCTCCACCGCCGGGGATCAGAACAGGGGCCGAAGCTCGCTCTATCCCCGCTTCTCCCGGGAGCTGTCGGAGTAAAGTCCTCCGGGGTTCCCCACCGTTCCCCGGAGGCGGTCGCTGCGGGGGAGAGCGCACCGTGAGCCCGCAGGGAGCGGGCAGTTCCCCCCGGTACCCCCTGGTGACAGCGAGCGAAGAGAGAAAGGGAGATTTTCTCCTCGACGTTGTCATAGATCAAGCGATGCGTGACTCGGGTTTAAGCAATGAAACAATTGGAATCAATTAGCTGGCGGAGGAGAGTTTGGAAGTGTAAAATTCACGTCAGGCCGGCTAGGAAGCATTGATTAAAATGTCAACAGTGTGAGGTTATGGCCACGGAAAGCAGCGGGCTCTGCGCAGGAGAGGCTCGGGAAAAAAAAATGGGGGGAGGGGAGAAAAGGGGGGAGCTTCTGTGAGACGGAGAGTGGAGTTTAATAAGAAGTGACAGAAGTAATAAGGAGACTTTCGATTCTTTGAAAAAAAAAAAATTAATATATATATATATATGTATTTTTTAGTGAACGGGGGGGCCTCGCCGTTTTGATGCCCAGTGGAAAAAGGAGCGGAGAGAGTTCGGGGATCGCCGTGGGTGTCTCTGGGACAGATCGGCGCTGAGATTTTCGCCTGGACAGGTGGGAAATGGAAGGGGAAAGAAAGTGCAAATGTCAGGCTGATGTGATATTTGGGGGCTGGAGAGGAACGCTGAGACGGTTGCGGGTTTGTAAAAAGGAAAAAAATGGAGGGGTCAGGAAACATTGCACAGTCCCTCTTTCCACTCCAGGTGAGCGTTTGGAACTCTCTCCCGTCTTTTAGCTTTTCCCACTGGTCTGCAGCGAGAAGAACGTCGTGAAATACACACATTTTGTTTTTGTTTTTTTTCTTTTTTTCTTTTTTTCTTTTTTTTTTTTTTTTTTTTCCTGCACTTCACTTTATTCACCTGCTTTGGAAAAGAAAATAAGAATAAGGAGCTGCAGATTATTTGCTGGGAGTTTTTATTATTATTATTATTATTTTCTCTAGTTGGGGGTATCGTGCAATCAGAAAATTCCATTTGTGCCGTGTTTTGAGCAAGAACAGGTTTGGGAAATGGTAGTTTTGAAGGGGAGCACGGTACCAACATCCTCGCCTGTTCGTGCAATGCCTGAGCTGTTTGGGGCTGGAAATCAACTTTATTTCCCCTCCTTACTCTATTCTCCCATCCCGTAATTTGTAACAATATTTGAAAATTCTGACTGCTAGAAGAAGTGGGTTTTATACTCAGGGGATATGTTCATTTTCTTAGGGACAAAGTGGCTCATACCGTAGTGGAAAGAAAAAGAAAGAAAGAAAAAAAAAAAAAAAAAAAAAAAAAAAAAAAAGAGGGGGAGGGAAAGGAAAACAAAGGAAAAGGAAAAGAAAAAGAAAGGAAAAGGAAAAAGTAGGGGAGAAAGAAGGGAAATGGGAAAACAGAAGGAAAGGAAGGGGGGAAAGAAAGGAAAGGAGAAAAGAGAAAGGGGGAAAAAAGAAAGGGGAAAAAGGAAAGAAAAGTAGAGGGGGAAGAAGGAGAGGAAAGAGAAGTGGGGGGGGAAAGAACGGAAAAAGAAAAAAGGAGAAGAAGGGGAGAAAAAGAAAGGAAAGGGAGGAAAAGAACAGAAAGGAGAAAAAGAAAGGGGAAAAAAGGAAAGGAGAGTAAAGGGGGAAGAAGAAGGGGAAAGGAAAACGGAAAAAAGAAATGGAAAAAAAAAAGAATGGAAGGTGGAGGGAGAAGAAGGGAGAAACAAGAAAAGGGGAAAAAAGAAAGGAAAGGAGGAAAAAGAAAGGAGAGGGGGGAAAAGGAGAGGAAGGGGGAAAAGAGGGGAGAAGGGAAGAAAACAGAAAGGGAAAAAGAAAAAGAAAGGAAAGGGGAAAAAAAGAAAGAAAGGGGGAGAGGGGTAAGGAAGGAATGGGGAAAAAAGGCAAAAACACAGCCCCCTTTCCACTGCCTCTTCCCGAGACCCTGTCCCGGCTCGAGGCTCTTCAGGACGCGCTGAGGGCTGCGCGGTGCCCCGGGGCCCCGACGGGGCGTCCCGTCCCCTTCTCGTCCGGAGAGGACCGAAGGGAGGGACAGGGGCGGCGAGGGGGGTCCGGCCCTGTCCGCCCCCCCGGGTTCTGACGTCACCGTGCCCACGGGGGGGGCGGCTCCCAGAGAAGCGCGTAGCTCCGCGCTGCCGCCTCCTCCTCCTCCTCTTCCGCGGAGAGGGCAGGGGCCGGGCGGCCGCGGGGATGCACGTCCTCTTCGGCGGTGGCACGCGGAGGTAAAACGGGGATCGACGGAGAGGTGGGAACTGGGGCGGTGGGGCTGCGGAGCAACCGCGGGGTGAGGTGGGGAACAGTCCTTACGGCGGCTGGGGAATTTATGGGGATGCTGGGTGGGATGTGCACGGTAATGCAGAGGCAGTGAGTAGGGAATGGGGTGGGAAAAGCTGAGAAGCGCTCGGTGCAGAATCAGTCTTCCCGCAGAGAGCTTTAGAGCGGTTGTGCTCCCTCCCAGCAAATTCAAGGGAGGGCATTTAGGGAGCCGGGCAGCTCGGGGACATGTTCCCCTTCCCCTTCATCCTGCCCTCCCCCTTTCTCCTCCCCTTCTCTTGGCAGGGCCCCCACTGACGGCTCTGTGTCCCTCTCTTTTTGCCCTGCTGACAGCTCCACGTCTTTCATTCTCCCCACAGCTGGAGCACAGCAGCCCCCCTGGCATTGAAGAGATGGCGACCAGCCCCCTGCCCACTCCCACGGACATTTTGTTGCCATCTCCATCCAGCGCTTACCCACCGGACCCCATGAGCCAGCAGCAGCGTGCTGGCCACGCCGCCATGAAACCCAACCAAGTGGGGCAGGTGATCCTCTACGGCATCCCCATCGTCTCGCTGGTGATCGATGGGCAGGAGAGGCTGTGCCTGGCGCAGATCTCCAACACGCTGCTCAAAAACTTCAGTTACAACGAGATCCACAACCGACGCGTGGCTCTGGGCATCACCTGCGTGCAGTGCACACCAGTGCAGCTGGAGATCCTGCGGCGCGCCGGGGCCATGCCCATCTCGTCGCGGCGCTGCGGGATGATCACCAAGCGGGAGGCAGAGAGGCTCTGCAAATCCTTTCTGGGGGAGAACCGTCCGCCCAAGCTGCCCGATAACTTCGCTTTCGACGTGTCCCATGAGTGCGCCTGGGGATGCCGGGGGAGCTTCATCCCCGCCCGCTACAACAGCTCACGCGCCAAGTGCATCAAGTGCACCTACTGCAGTATGTATTTCTCCCCCAACAAATTCATCTTCCACTCGCACCGCACTCCCGACGCCAAATACACGCAGCCCGATGCCGCCAACTTCAACTCCTGGCGCCGCCACCTCAAGCTGACCGACAAGAGCCCCCAGGACGAGCTGGTCTTTGCCTGGGAGGACGTCAAGGCCATGTTCAATGGAGGAAGCCGCAAGCGGGCACTGCCGCCCACACCCACTGCCACCACTCCTGGGACCGCCGCTGTCCCCCAGTGCCACGCGCTGGGCTCGGTGAAGGCAGCGGCTGTGGTGGGGGGCGGCTTGCTGGCCCCACACCTTCTGGCCGCAGCTCCCCAAGAGCTGCAGCAGAAGCGGCCACGCTTCGAGGAGGACGAGGAACTGCATGAGGCCGTGGCAGTGGCAGGAGGGAAGAGTCCGCGGAGCTACCCGCTCATCCCAGTGCCCAGCAAAGGGGCCTTCGGAGGAGTGCTGCAGAAGTTTCCAGGCTGCGGGGGGCTCTTCCCGCATCCCTACGGCTTTCCCGCAGCCTTCGGGCTCTGCCACAAGAAGGAAGAGGGCAGCGGTGCGGGTGATGCCCTTGGAGGGACGGCGGCCCACAAAACCGGAGGGGGGACAGCAGGCGGCGGGGGGCTCTCTGGGCTCTTCTGGCCCGGCAGGAAGGATGCAGCCTTCTATCCACCCTTCTGCATGTTCTGGCCGCCCCGCACGCCAGGTGCGCTGCCGGTGCCCACCTATCTGCAGCCCCCTCCTCAGCCACCTGGAGCGACGCTGGGCTGTGCGCTGGGGGACGGCGCTCTCCGGCAGGCCTTCCTGGACCTCTCGGAGCCCGAAGCGGCGGCCTCGGAGCCCGCATCGCCTTCAGCCTCGGATGGAGGGAACGGGGCGAGCGGAGCCCGCGTCCCCCCGCACCCACTGGAAGCAGCCGGAGGCCATAAGGCTGCCAGGGGAGGCTACCACCACTCCAGCGCCTTCCGCCCAGTTGGGGGCAAGGAAGACTCGGAGAGTCTGGCCAAGCTGCACGGCGGCGGCCCGCACCGCCCCGCGTCTCCACTGCAGCTCCTGCTTCCCCCACCGCCCCCGCCGCCACCCCCCCCACCGCCGCCACCCGAGGACGGGGGCTGCGAGCGGCCTCCGTACCCCCCGGCCGGCACCTTCGCCAGCGAGGACAGCAGCGAGGAGGAGGAGGAGGAAGAGGAAGAAGAAGAGGACGAGCCCGAGGTGGACGTCGAAGGGCACAAACCCCCTGACGAGGAGGAGGAGGAGGATGAGGAGGACGAGGAGGAGGAAGGCGAGGAGGATGCCGACCCCCTGACGCCCGCCGCTCGCTTCCCACCCAGCAGGGCTCTGCAGGAGAAGGCTGGCCAGGACCGTCCTCCCCCCACCGGCCACCCCTTCGCCCGTCCGGCTGCAGAGGAGAAGCTGGGGGAAGGCCAGGCCCCCAGGGCGGGCAGTGGTGGCAGCAGCCCGGTGCAGCAC